GTGCATGGTGGGCCAGTTGTGTCATTGTTTCTCTGTGTCATGGTTGTTCTCAGTTGAGGGGTGGCGGCTGGCCTGAGGGCCGAAGTGCAACAGCGCTTGCCACCCCATGGCTCCCCCTGCGCCAGGGGGCCTCCTTCCAGGTGCCTATGAGGCAGGGAGCCAGCCATTCATGACTGGCGCTCCCCGCCCATGGCTCCCCGTGCACAGGAGGCCCTCCTTCTGGGTGCCTATGAGGCAGGGAGCGAGCCAGCCGGAAGACCGGCACTCCCGGCCCATGGCTCCCTATGCACCTGGGCCCCTCCTTCCGGGCGCCTACGAGGCAGGGAGCCAGCTGGTCCAAAGACCCTAAAGACCGGTGCTCCCTGCCCGTGGCTCCCCGTGCGCCGGGGGCTCTCCCTCTGGGGGCCTACGAGGCAGGGAGCGAGCCAGCCGGAAGACGGGTGCTCCCCGCCCGTGGTTCCCCGTGTGCCTGGGCCCCTCGCAGGCACCTACGAGGCAGGGAGCCTATTATCCAAGATTTCAATGCAGAGATTTGAACCCAGAGTCTGACTCTAAAGTCCTTGCTCTTAATCACATCATTATATGACTCCCTATTAGTATCTGTAGTCTGTACAGTATGTACTTGTAATAACAGAGCGTACACTTGTTACATATTTTTCTAATTGGCCAGTCCAGAATAAAAGAGGCTATCAAAGGCTAATGTGTGCTAATTTGCCATTCTAGGATAGCCTCAAGTTTATGTCCTGTGGTCTCTGTGCTAATCTCTGCTGTTCTGGAGAACAGTTTTGAGCAGTAATAGCTGATAGTAGTGCTGGTGTTACAGAGTCCTAAAGGAGATGGTAATGCTCAATGCTAAGATGTTTTTCATACCTGGAGGCAACCATTAAGATTGTTGGGGGTTGTGCAACTACTTTGATATTAGGAAGAATATCATAAATATCAGTGCAGTTTTGGAGGATGAACCTTTAACCACATATGACCTAGAGTGCAGTATGGGTAGAGGCTTCTCCATGACAGGGAATATCCAAGAGTAGGAAGAGTGGTTGCTAACATGTGATTTAGGGGATGCCTTTCCATAGAGGCTGAATATGGAGACCTTTTGAGTGGTGCTGCAGTTAGATGTGTCTGACATCTCCTTCATCCTAAATAGGTATGCTTGCATCTGCCTCAGAGCGTTGTTCATCAGTGTAACCTGCCAGCATGGGCTATTAGCTGGAGGAAGATGGAAATCATACATGGGCCAGGTTCAAGACTAATGTAGAAATTTATGATAGGAAAGAAACATAGATGCAGACCACAAAGATAGCTACTCCCTAGACAGAGCAGCTGAGTACTCCACAGAGTCATGTTGCACAAGGGAGGCAATTTACTTTTATGGGGCCATTCTCTGCTCCTTGTGCATCCTGCTGTCTTATCTTGGGGTACACTTGCTTTCTTACCACTCAGAAGTATGGCTCCCTGCTTGTTTCCTATGAGGTGACTAATTTGTTGCCTCAGTTACACACCTGGACCTGAGTCAGACTGTCTGGGTTTAAATCCACCTCTGTAGCTTATTCATTGTTTTGGGCATGAGCAAATTGTCCTTTTTTTTTTTTCTCTGGTACCAGGAACCGAACTCACGACCTTGCGCTTGCCAGGCAGGCGCTTTTGCCGCTGAGCTAAATCCCCAGCCCCCCCGAGCAAATTGATTTAACATGCTTTGAAGTCCTTTTGCCTCTTTTCCTCACATGGAGTAAATGAGATAGACATAAAATCTTCATACAGTACCCTGATCACAGTGAAAAGATGATAATTAATTTTAGATATTGGAATTAGTAATACTCTTTTCCTTGTCCATGGAATTATGTTTCTTATAATAGTTGAGCTACTTATATTTTGTTATAATTTATTTTTCTTCCCAGAGATATGAGAGCACCTCCAGAACAGGGAAAGATTTTTATTTCAAGACGCTCTCTCTTGGAGTGAGTATTTTTTGCTTTTGTTAATTCTTAGTTTGAGTTAAATAAAAAAGCTGTCCTGATCCATAGAATCACTGCTTTAATCTATGAATATTTAATGAGTTTCTTCTGTATCCATATAAATCATTAGTTTTGATACTTTTTGTTTGTTTGCAGTCTCTTGCTTGCTTCCCTGCCTGCCTCCTTCCTCCCTCCTCCCTTGCTCCTTTCTTTCCTTCCTCTTCCTCTTCTTTCTTCTTTTTTTTTTTTTCTGAGATAGGGTCTCACTGTGTAGTTCAAACTGGCCTTGAGTGCACTATGTAGCCCAGGCTGGCCTCAGAGGTACTCCTGCTGCCTCAGACACCCCGCCACATCCCAACCCCAACCTCAGTGCTGGATGGGCATGTGGCACCTTGTCTTTGCTCTTTCTTACTGATCTGGTCTTGGCTCTAATTTCAAAGGAAGAGTTATTGATAAGAATAGTTACTGTATTGAGAAGAATTGTTTACCCAAAGAGCTAGAAAAGAAACTTTCTTACTGGATAAACCACTTCGAGAGAGAGTTTTGGAGTTACGGCCTTCCTAATACAGTGTATAAACCTATAATCTTCATTCATCCCTCTCACTCTCTCTTTTCTTTTTTTTTTGGTGAGAGCCTGGTTTCCTGAGAGTTACTCATATTAAAACCCAGATTGCCTAATATGTTTAAAATAAAATCCATATGATGTGAATTCATTGTGGTAATTACCTTTGTGAACTAAAAATTTAAGTTGTACTTTGGGTAGGTGATGAATATTTCTTCTTTCATGGTGAGTAGTTTGTTTGCTCATTGGAATTCTGCCTACATTTAACCTGCATTAGTGATCATTTGAAATAGTTGGGTTGGTGAAAAATTATGTTGTCTCTTAATGTGCTTTCTTTAATAAAAATGCACCTTAATGTTCATCAAAATTTACTTTTTGAGCCAAACTGAACTGTGCTTCTGTTTTTTGTTTTGTTTTGATACTTAACTGAGAAAGCTGGAGTTCTGTAAACATGCAGTGAAATTCTGTTTCAGTGTTTTGCTGTAGTATATGAAGAGATTGATCTTTTAAAAATTATATCTAGGGGAAAATGTGGACTTTTCACAGAAAAGAGAAAATAAAACAATTATTTTGAACATTATAAATGTGAACCTGAATGAAAAATAAACCTTTTTGTTAAAAGAAAAACTGTTTAATGAAAGTATTTGAGCACATCTTCTATAGCTTAGGTGGGTTTTTATTAGAAATTGAAGATTCTCATTTTAGAGATTTAGTAGTATTTTAGATTCCCCAAAAAGTCATTTAGAAGTTCAGCATATCGCTTTCTAAAAACAAGGTTAAAAACTTCTTTTAGATGTATAAGATATTTGTTAGGAAAAGTCATCTAGAAGGTCATTGCTATGTTTTAAAACAAAATAGCCCCATCTTAGGTACAAATCAGTGAGGAGAAAGTAAAAGCATTTCTAAATGGTTAAGTTTTGTAATGTGTAGAGTGGTGGTTGGTTATATCATCACCACAGGACTCAAATGTGTCAACTTACACATCCTGGAAATGGATAGTGCTACACGTATATAGTAGTTATGTGTAGGGAGTGGAATACAAAGATAGGGTTTTTTTTTAAGCTTCCTTAGCATTTGAAATAGTTTCTGTGTTATCTGTTTTAGCAAATGGTCTTTGCATGGTAGAAAACTTTCTGGTGCATTCTCAAAGATTGCAGATTGTTTATAGAATTATTTGTTTCCTTCCTGTTTCTTTCTTTTTTTTTTTTTTAAGACAGCCTGAATACTTTGGTTGGGAAGAAAGATTAAGGAAGAATCTATGTATTACAATTTTTTTTTTTTAACTGCAGTCTTGTCCTTTGATAACTTTGTACTTCAGTTTTAATATTTTGTGCTTACTTTTTTTTTGAGATGTTTTTGAAGGGGGATTAAGCATCTTCTAAACTGCTTTAAGGAAAAATATTTACCAAGTGGTATTTTAAAAATTAAATATGGATTATTCATTTAATGTGTGTGAACTCCATTCACAGTGAGCTGTTTGAAGTGGACCACATCCGGACAATATATCACATGTTTATCGCCATTCTTATTATCTTTATCCTCAGCACACTTGTAGTAGATTACATTGATGAAGGAAGGTAAGAACAAAGTGGTTGGTTGGTTAGTTGATGCATGAAAAGCTGGGAATTTTCACTAAATTTTGGTAAAATAGTTTGGTGAAATTTGCTTCAGAAGACTCTAAGGTGACTGATTTGAGGATGATACTCTTTTCTACTGAAAAGTATAAAGAGAAAGCTCGACTTCATTACTTTTATTTTAAAAATAGTTTTTCTTTTTTGAGCCAGGGTCTTGCTATGCAGTACAGGCTGGCCTTGAACTCACTTTTGTAGCCCAGGCTGGCCTCAAACTCACAGGTCTTACCTCAGCCTCCCAAGTGTGGGATTACAGGCATGCACTGCCATGCCTGGTTTAAAAATATTTCTTTTTTTGGTGGTGCCAGAGACCAAACCCAGAGACATCCCCGTGCTAGGTGCTGTGCCACTGAGCTACATCTCTAGCCCAGAATGCAATAGAATATATCAGTAGTTTCTAGGTAACTGTCGAAATGAAATGACTTACCAATTTTTCTATGCTAGGCACTGAACATTGTTACTTAAAATAAGTGGCTTATAGGAATTTTAAGGTAGAAAAAAGTGATGTTTCTTTTTATTATAAAAATCAATCATAACTTAAAAATGGCAATATGGTAATAATATTGAATTATGTGCTTTCTTGAAAATCAAGATTGAGATTATAATAGTATATTAGTAGACTTTTAAGTTTTACCTTTCTCCTCCTGAAAAATCATCCTTTGTACATAAAATGATTGTTATTGAATACTTAATTTTGCCATAGAATATTTTGGAGTTTAAAAATATTAATGTGAGCCTGCCTGGCAAGCGCAAGGTCGTGAGTTTGGTTCCCGGTACCGGAGAAAAACCAAAAAAAAAAAAAATATTAATGTGAGACACTAATGTTTCAGAACTTCAAAACTTTGTGACTTTAGATGTCCTAAGTTCAGAGCTATATTCTGGCTCTTAGAAACTTAACGTTGAGCTACATTGTGAAGCAGAGGGTTAGAAGGAAGTCTTTATCTAGCAGAAGTATTATTACATCCACAACTTGGATGTGTTAATGTTATACTTTTTCTTTTCTTTTTTCTTTCTTTCTTTTTCTTTCTTTCTTTCTTTCTTTCTTTCTTTCTTTCTTTCTTTCTTTCTTTC